TCCCACCTTCGGCCTTTCTCCCGCCTTCCACCATCCACCATCGCTACTTCTCTCTCCCTCTTCCCGCCATCTCTCTCTTTCCCTCTCTCTCTCCCCTCCCAACTTCTTCCGCGGCTTCACACCATCCCGCCTTCGGCCTTTCTCCCGCCTTCTGCCATCCACCATCGCTACTTCTCTCTCCCCCTTCCCACCATCTCTCTCTCTCTCTCTCACACACACACACACACACACGCACAAACAAAAAAACGAACTTCCCCCCTTTTTTTTTTCGGAGGCCTGGCGCGGTCTCAAATTTTTGTTAATATTTTTTTTGTGGTTTATGACGCGACATCCCACTCCGGTTTAAACCACCCCTCTCCAGCTTTTTTTTTTTTTTTTTTTTTCTTGACCCCTTATTTTCCGGGTGCGCCGCACCCAGTGCGCGCGCGTCGTGTGCTGTGCACAGTGCGGCGCGTGTGCGTGGTGCAGCGCACGTCGATGCGCCGCAAGTATGGTTTTAAGTGGTCTATGCGAATCTGCTTTTGTGTTTGATTTTTTGACCGTCGATTTCATATGGCATTTTGAAGTGACACTCGGCCAAAATATGTTTGTATTGGTCTTTCCGGACATCCCCCCTTAAAATTGGAACGATACAGAGAAGATTAGTATGGCCCCTGCACAAGGGTGACTGACATGCATGAATCGAGAAATGGTCCAATTTCGTCCAAATTTTAAAAGGGAAAAAAAAAGTTGTTTGTATTTAGATTCTGCTATCACTCTACTATTCTACAACATGTATTCTTTTCCAGAATTTTTTTCTTCTTCTCCGTGCTGGGCTGTCTGGGGGACCTGACCTGGCTGTTCCAACCGGGCAGCCAAATGCAGCCTGGCTCCGGCGGCCTGGCGTCCTATTTGGAAACTTTGGAGCGGCATTATGAGTAATTTGAATTTTGAGCTAATTTCAGTTATCTCTATTGGATTTGATAAATATTAAATTTATTTTTTTTTCTCACTCTTACTGTGAAAGATTGAACATGGCTTTAGTGATGGAGGAGGTCTAAATAAGGTACAGGAAAACAATGTTCGAAAACCCACATTCAACAGGCCCCGAGTCAGTCTGTAGATTGTAGCGTCGATCCAAGTCTATGGATGCCTACCGTCTTCACCTGAATAGAACGTCTGATCATTATCGCTGCATCTGGACAGAAAATGGCCCCAAATATGGCTCTAATGACCGGGCGTTATATTAGGGTGAAGACGGTAGGGGAGTCACTGAGACATGTTCTCCTTCCAGTTGGATTGAGGAGTCGGTGGGTTCTCTGGGCCAGCAAGGCCCACCACATCTGACGGTCCGGGGACTTTACAGTTAGGCCCAGTTTGATCCCACATCAAAGAAAACTACAGAAGTCAGTCTAGGCAACAGATCACACACACATCTGACGGTTGAGAAAAAACGTTTCTGGTCAAGTCCGGAGTATACTGGGTGTCAGCAGCCACCCAGCCAGCTGCTAGGCCCTGCGCCCCAGCCTTAAGAATATGTCTATGCTGTCAGTTGTGACAAGGTGTACCTTGTGCTCAGTTCGGTGCTGGAGTGTTGAGCTGTGTTGCCCCGCTGCCGCAAGGAATGAAGTGGTAGCCCTTGCGAGGGCAGCCATGACTGGGCATAGTTGGGAAGGGGGCACCATAGCTGGTAGAAGAGGTAGAGGGCAGGGGGAGGATGGGGGTTTCGACTGGAGACATACTTGGGAGGGAGAAGATGCCTGAGGGTGGACGAAGGCAAGGGCGGCAGGGAGGAGGGCACGATGCACACTTGGGAGAGAAGATGCCTAAGGGTGGAAGAAACTTACGTGGTTGTCGGCGGCCATAAACTTACGTGGTTGTCGGCGGCCATAAACTTACGTGGTTGTCGGCGGCCATAAACTTGCGTGGTTGTCGTCGGCCATAAACTTACGTGGTGGCTGGCGGCAATAAACTTATGTGGTGGTCGAAACGGCCGTGCATAGCCGCATTGGAGAAGAAAACTCCAAGATTTCGATGGACCGACATTCTCCCACCAAGATCCGTTAACATTGGAACGATATAGAGAAGATTAGCATGGCCCCTGTCCAAGGATGGCACACATATATCGAGAAATGGTCCAAATTTGTATTACAAAAAAAAGAAAAAGACAAAAAAGGAATCCTCAATGACTTGAGGTGGCTGAATCTGGACGTGTTTGTGAGTTGACTTCAACAGGCCTTGGAGCTAGAATGTAGTGGAGCTGCAGGGGCGAGGTTCCACTAGCAAAGAGTATTGGGTCGAACACCCGAATGTGGACGTGTTTGTGATGAGGTGCACCAAATTAGGATTGAGGTTCATTGAACTGCTTTTCTGCATCTCTGCCAGGTTCAGGATCTTACTCCAAAATCCTCCTTGCTAGTGGGACCTCACTCAGGGTGGCTGTCGAATCTTGTTGCTGCCGAAGATATGCTACATACATAGATAGGGCTTGGAGCGACATGTCATTCGCCATTCGTTGTCTATTCTCTGACATGTTTCTTCTTTTTTTCCTCATCTTGCTTTTTTCAAGGACATGGATGGATCAGTTTGCTCATGCGGACAAGACAACGAGCCTAGCGCAGTTGGTACACCGATGAGCTGTTGAAGTGCGGACCCGTGTTTGAGTCCATATGAACTGCAATCCAGTTATTACGAGGGGGTCTGTCCGTTGAACGAATGATCATTGCGGGGGGCAAGCGGATGCTGTCAATGCCTCTGTTTTTGTTTGTTTTTTTTGCACCGACATATTGCTAATTGTGGTTGGTGTCCGTGGGGGGTTCGTCTGTGTGGCCTCTTCAGCGGATGTCGAATCGAAGCAATGCTTCTTGGGAGCTTTGGTAATCCGCAACCTTAGCATCAGGTATGTTCTGTTTTCGCTTCAACTATTATAATCACGAAGCCTTGCTGTCGATTGTGTTCAACACGGTTCAAAGTTATTACTCACTCATTGTGTTACCTGCATGGCAGCTGAATGATACACATGTAGAGGCAAGAATAGAACTCTGCGGACCCACCGTTTGAGTCGACATGGCTACCTTCTTCACCCGAATAGAACGCCCTGTAATTATTGCTGTATCTCGACTGAAAGTTGCACCCAAATACAACGATAATGACTGGGCGTTCTATTCGGGTGACGACGGTAGGGGCCTATGTTTTGTCGAGCCTTGTGTACTAGAATCGCCACCACTTCCTCATACACATACATACCTTGTACACTAGAAATCAACGCCAGCTACTGAAGAAGGCCTTGGGGGGGGGGGGGTTCAGGGTCTCTTCTGCAATTTGCACTTTTTTTAACACAAGAGTTTAACGATGCTACGTTAAAAATAAATAAATGGAATCGTTCGCCTGGTAAAGGGTACCGAATTCTGCTTGCGTTTTGCGACTGGTGAGCACTGAGCATGCCTTGAAGATTCTCTGGAATCGTATACCACATCTACCTTTCCCAGGCAACGTCGAGAGTTGAAAATGAGAAAATGTAACATTCCGTGTTCCTCAAATGAACAGTGCTACTGGACCCGAACGGCTGGCAGCGCCAGCAGGGAAAAAAAAAGAAAAAAAAAAAAAAAAGAAAAAAGAAGCCGCACTGGCGCTTCGGCAAAGCTTGGTGCGCAGTTTCGTTCTGGCGGCCTGGCAAAGAGAGGCTTGAAGGTAGAGGCGGCGGCGGCGGTTCAACTGATTTTTGAAATTTTCCTACTTCCTATGGCTTATTCTCAACGAAGGGGTACCGAGTCTACCGACTTCTGTTTTTTTTTACTGTTTGTAACTTTGTAGCCATTCCTGTGCTTGTGTGAATCATGCTTGTCCCTTCATTCCCTCACGAGTGCTCCTGCAGCCTTGATTTGATTAATTAGTAATAAATTACTATAATCCTTTATTAAGTAGTAATAAATTACTATAATCCTATCCTACTCATTCCTCAATTCTGGATAGATGGCCACAAATGACTCGATGGTCGCTTACTCAGATTAGTAAAAATTTACTAAAAAATGCTCCACTCTTCGACATGACTGTTTCTCAGTTTCTCTTGTTTGGTCTTATGGTGATTGTTTGCTTGAACGGTGAAGTGTATCGAATTGGCGAGCGACAAAGAGCCTGCCTGAGTATCTCGAGGAGCACAACGTGATGGGCATAGGTGAATACGACAACTCTCCCATTTTTAACCCTAGTTTTCTGCATATGCCCGGAGATTGATTCGCTTATTGGCACTCACTAGAATAAAAAAGTCAAGTGGTCTCTACGTCTGTGCAGTTCGTTTCTGTTTTTTTTTTTTTTTTTTTTTTTTTTTTTTTTTTTATGCCATTTCTTTATTTATTGGCACTCCTAGTATCTATGTCTGTGTGCACTTCGTTTTCTGTTTTTTTTTTTTCTTTCTTTTTTTTACCATTTCTCGATTTATGAGTGTCATCCTTGCACACATGGGCCATGCCAATCTTCTTCTCTGTATCGTGCCAATTTTAACGGATGTCCCGGAGACCATTTCTCGATTTATTCGCACTCCTAGAATCGAAGTCAAGTGGTCTCTATGTCTGTGTGCACTTCGTTTTTTTTTTTTTTTTCCCTCACCATTTCTCGATTTATGCGTGTCATCCTTGCACACAGGGGCCATGCCAATCTTCTTCTCTGTATCGTGCCAGTTTTAACAGATGTCCCCGACAACTTGTTTCTGTTTTCTTATCCTCTTCAGAGTTCAGACACTGTTTCCCGTCTTTCTCTGTCTGTCTGTGTCTCTCTCTCTCTCTCTCTCTCTCTCTCTCTCTCTCTCCCCTTCTGCTTCTTGAGCCTTCTTTCTTTCCTTTCTGTTTTGTTTTGTCCTTTTTTCAAAGGGGGTTCTCCCTACCTTCATTTTGTTCATCTCACAAATTTGAAACTCATGTTCTGTATATTAACAGTGGCATGTGTTTAGTACAGTGTACGTTCCAGCCGAGTTGCTGCCAATCTCAGCTCTTTCATTTGACTCATTTCGTAGCTTGCTTCTTCTCTCTTCTTGCCCTTGTGTATTTCCTCCTCTTAATAAGGACGAGTCCTTACTGGTGTGTCCATGGCTCCTCTCTGCTGTGTTCTCCATTGCCTCCTCTCTAACTGTCAAATTATGTGTGCACTGTTCCTGTGCTGTCTATCCTCCTATGGATGTTTTCTCTCGCTTCCTATCATTTCTACCTGTTTTAAAAAAAAGGGGTTAGTCCCCACTGACTCCCTCCCTCACCTTATTATATCCATCCAATGATTCCAATTCCATCAGGATTTGAACTCATGAGCTGTTTATCGACAGGTAGATGTGTGTACACTGTGTCCCATTTTCGGCCACACGTGCCGGGTTGTTTTGTATCTCTTCTGTTCTCCTTTTAACCTCAGATTCAATAGTATGATATTATCTATCACTTTGACTGGGTCTTCTCTGCTTGTTTATCTTGTCTGTTCTCTCTCCTCTGCTTTCCACCCATCTGCCAACACTCTGTTGTGTGTGCCCCCCACCCTTTTTTTCTTCCTTTGCAATGTTCCCTCCCTCTTGCTTGGCTCACTCAAACTGGCGGCCCAATTTTTTTGTGTCTATGTCCTTCTGTGTTCTTGTTTGCATTCCAGATCCTCACTTTGGTCTGACTTGGTTTCAACCCTGTTTGCCATGTGTCACTTGTGAACAGCAAATTTAGATACACGTTCAATTACCAAGCGACTGAGGGAGGATGGCAGTCTCATTGGTGCGTACTGTGCAGGCTCTTCGGGGTCATTCTCATTGAGCCTCTCGTGTCCCTTTCCATAGGAGTGTGTGTGTGTTCACCAGGGAGAAAACTAGGAAGGAGAAGGGAGGTGATACGGACAGCGAATTGATGGAGGTCATGCTCTCTCTCTCTCTCTCTCTCTCTCTCTCTCTCTCTCTCTCTCTCTCTCTCTCTCTCTCTCTCTCTCTCTCTCNTCTCTCTCTCTCTCTCTCTCTCTCTCTCTCTCTCTCTCTCTCTCTCTCTCTCTCTCTCTCTAGAGTTCATACCCCCTCGACCCACGTCCCTCCTCCCCCTTCCTAGAGGGTGATACATTGCCATATCGGCCAGGGCAGTGGGCGCAAAGAACAGGGTTACGAAATTTCAGCGTTCCCTCGACCGGGTTCCCAGAAAGTCCTGCTCCCCACTAATAGATTGAAGCCATCCAACAGGTGGTCCGCTGCCGGGGACGTGCTCTTTCCGCCCCGGCAGCGGCGGACCATTGAACGATGCTCAAAAAAAAAAAAGAAATTCAGTGTCCCACTTTGGCAAATTTTTCATTTTATCCGACTCATCCCCTTTTGACCTGTACTGTTCCCTGGGCGGTTCGGCTGGGGGAAGGTCGCCCAAGTACCCTCCCGGACGGCCCGGACCGGGCAGGGTCCCGGGCGATCCCAGCTCGTAATATTAAAAAAATGAAAAATTTTAAAAATCAGGAAAAAGAAATATGTTGTGTAAAATTGCAATACGAACCACGTTTGGCTGAGGACCACCTCGGAATTCCTTGTTGATTTGAAGATAAAAATAAATGAGAAAACATGAGTTGAAATGTACCCTTTTAATTTTTAAACCCCTTTGGTCACTGTTTATACCCCCCGCAACCCCCCCGGATTCTGACTGCTTACGCCAAGCGCAGTCCTGGCCTGAATTCTTTTTTTTCTTTTTCCGGGCTCCTTGCCTCTTTTTTGACCCATCTGGTTTTGCTGGGCGACCCCCCTCTGCCCAACTGGCCCGGGCGTGCGTGGCCGGGCGACGGCCCAGCATAGCTTTTGACAAAAAATTGTGAAGGCAACATGAGGATTACAAACTAGGTTCTGTGACATGCATACGGTTGTAAGGGAAGGGGGGGGTGGGGGGAGGAAACTGTTTGGTTCGGTGCTCCAGGCTTGGGAGAACCCACGGGTTCGGCAAACTACCGTCGTCACCTGAATAGAATGCCCGATCATTATAGCCGTATCTGGACTGAAAATTGCACCAAGAACGGCTATAATGACCAGGCGTTCTTTTCGGGTGAAGACCGTAGGTTCTGAGGAAGTGTTGATTTAAGGGATCGTCGTAAACATTAACCCTCCTTTCAGAAGGGAAATCAAAGATGGTGGAGAGGCATCTCTGTCATGAAAGGAAACCATTGCTGTGTGTGACTGACTACCCGACCGACCGAGCCCCGGCGGATTCTTGCTGATGACTTATATGGCACTCTTGCAGGCTCTGATGTGACAGTGTTTTGCCCCCGCTGATTGATGACTGAGTCATGATCTTGTGACCGTCTGTGTGCAGGTGTTTTGACAACGGACAGTTCATTGTCAGACGAGGAGCTGATTGAGTCAGCCAGGAGCTGGGACATTGTAGGCAAGTATTACTCCCAACACCAAATATCTTGTCCTTCATTTTGGCTCCCTCTTTTTGTACGCCGTCTCCTGTTTTTCTGTTGTGGAAACATGGTGTTCTTCTTGTCCGTGACACAGCCTGTCATTTTCTCTGTCAATTTCTAACTTTGGTCGAGTGCCCTAATGGCGCACTTTGTCTTCCTCATCTGTGTGTATATGTTATGAACTTGGTTGTCTGACGAATTTTCTCGCCACTCACACACAGACAATCTCACACATGCCCATGCATAAGAGAAGGGGAGAGAGGAGACAGGGTCCAAACTGCACACAGGTGAAGATAAACAGCGGAAGACAATTATGCACAGCTGGGGAGAAGACGCACAGTGTTTCTCACTCTCTGACACAACTCCCAACAACCAATCACAAGAAAGAACCTGCGAAGATCACAATTGAAAATGACACTGATGATGAGCCACTCATACAATTATCGTAACAGAGTTTGTTCCAGTATCTCGCCACACTCAGAACTCACACCCCACTCTCTATCCTACACCCAGTTAGTAGCGCTGCATCAGAACAGCCTCTCAGAGGCCAGCGCCAACCACCCTGATGAAGAACAGGTCATGCGATGAAGTCTTCAGTGCCGATGGACAACTCAGACGAAGGAACAGGCAGCTATGGCTGCCACCACCCACGAGTACACAGTGTAGAGCCTCGATATAGCCCGGCCAGACGCAGATACCCCAGGGGTAGATGCGCTGAGGATGCCCCAGCTATGGCAGACTCAGACTGGGCCGGCTATGGCTGCTGTCAACGGCGAGGTCTCAGGATGCAGCCTGCAGACAGTCACCGCCACCAACTTGCTTGGCTTCTCCAACGCTGCTTCGCGAGAAATGAACTGTCAAAAGTCCTAAACCTACTCGGCCTGTCCTATTTCTAGATTCTACCCTAGACCTACTGGACCGAAACTGCTCTACCGGTACCGTTTCGACTTAGGGCCTCTAGGCCCTTCCCAGCTACGGGCTCTACCCACTGTAGGCCCTTAGGGCCTCTATGRCGTCGGGGAAGACTGGGCCTGYAATCGCAGGGCCGGAACCGGTCTATTTTTAGAACAGCATATAGGCCTCAGTGTGACCCAAAACTCTGCACGCACACACAACAAAGCACGCTGCAAAACACAACAGGCACACGCAACAGGGTACAACCTCGCCGTTAGTCACGGCAGCAGAAATCAGCACGTCATCGCACYTCAATGCGTTAAGAAAAAAACACAGCAACAGCACAGACAACAAAACACAGAAAACACAAAATCACGAATCTAACCTACGACGCGACCAGACCGAGGCAAGCCCCAGGCTTCACCCTCAGCCTAATGTACAGTCCACTGAGAATCTGCAGGTTTCATTACATAT